GGGGGGGGGGGGGGGGGGCGGGGCGGGGAAGAAAAAAGATAAACAGAACCTGATCTTGTCAGTTTCATGCTTATTCCCTTCCCTGGTTTCCTCTGGACTCAAGATCCAGAAGGTATCATCAATATGGCTCTAAGGTACCACTTCCCTTCCTGTCAGCCCAGACCTCTTGGTTCTTAGAATGGGTGGTGTTTACCATGCAGTGTCTTTGCTGTGTAGGCCCCCCTCCCCATCTGCCCTTGTCTTATTAGCTCTAACTTTTCTATTGGTTTTGAGTATTTTCTCAGGGAAGCTCTCTGAACTTCCAAGATAGGTTAGGCCACCCTGTTACATACCAGACCTCAACCCCACTGAACACCAATCACACCGTGAGTCGTGGCTAAGGGCAGCCTCTCTTGCCAAGACCCTGTCCACTCCACTGACACCTGCTATGGGTAAGCCTACGGCAGTGATACCCACCAACTCTCTTATGAACTAAATCAGAAACCTAAGCATTATGGAATCATTACCTTTTATTCCACACACTCCCACTAAAAGGATGAAGACTCACAGAACTCACCTATCTGATGCTATTTTAGACAACGAAGTGCACATGGCACATGAAGAGGTCTGTGGGCCTGGTCCCCCAAGAGCTGGCAGGTCTCAGAGCAGACTCTGCGGATCACTGGGAACCCTAAATAATATCCTCACTCAGCCAGAAGAGGTATGTCAAAGTGCAACAGGCTTGAGGGGACACCCTCCACATTGCAGGCCTGTAAGGTGGTGCTCTCCAATGACAGATCTGACCATTCCTTGGAAACCTGCTGTCGCCCAGAGCCACCTGAGGTATCACACCTCCTGTCCAGCCAGGACTGAACAAAGCTCCGTTACAAAGGAGCTTAAGACAGTCCTTGAGGACGGCCAGTCACCATCACAGAGCACCGCAGGACACGGGCCTCGCTCGATGCTGATGGCCTTCCCTCGAGGCCACTTTACTTTGAGGAGGAAAAGGGAAGAAATGAAATCTCACCGATTAACAAAAATACACCATACAATTCTTTGGGGGTGGCACAAGACTTTTCCCCATAAGCACTAGCACTTGGTCTTTGGAGTAACATTATCTCCGTACAAAACAGAGCAGAATTTCAGAGAAAGAACAACCACAAACCATCAACTGCAGAGAAAACGGGTAACAATCCGCAGGCATACACATTACACACTTTGACAATGACCTGTGGAAATTTTAACCTGGGTTGGCTTTCCCCATCACTCAGTGTGTTTCTGAGCCGTTCCCCCATTGCCAGCCTGTATGCAATAGGGAATAAAATTAATTGACTTTGATATTAACTAATAGAAAAAACCCCACACCAAACTGGCAGATAAATGAGAGGGCTCAAATACTAATACAGTCAAACCTCGATTCTTGAACGTCTCTCATCTCAAACAATTCGTTTCTCAACCTGACAACCTTTCATGCTGAGAGCTATATGATGTCACAAGCCTCTCAGGCCACAAAGGAGTATGAGTCAGTTTACCGCTGTTAAAACCTCAGGATATTGTGCTGTGAATATTATTAATTTTTCATTTTTACTGTACATTTCCTTTCCTTTTTATTAAATTTTCATTTAAATTTCATGTCCTTTTTGTTTTTAAAGTGCTTATTTATAGGTTAAACAGTACATTAGATGTGTACTGTATATAAGAAAGGTTAAAATGGAATCATTTGGGTGTCTGGAATGGGTTAATTCAATTTACATTATTTGCAACGGGAAAAAATGATTCGGCTTTCGAACAGCCATGTGGAATGAAGTAAGTTCGAGAAACGAGGTTCCACTGTACAATATTCTCCCATTTTCTTATGGGCCTTTCTACTCCATCATCCAACCTCTTTCTATCCGCAGAAATCAGCCATTTTTCTGACTGAGAATGATTTAAAGTTTAAAATGCCAAGACAAAAACCTAACAATTTTCCCAGCACTTTCTATTCTCATCCTTTTATCCTCTGTCCATGGGCCACTTTTTACTTAGTCTCAGAC